AGTGAAGGTGCAAGTAGTGGTGGTAGCCATAGCAAAAAGAAAACAGAAGGATTTGCAACATCAGCTAACAAATTGATGCAAACAAGTCCCCAGTAGGTCATTCCCAGCCTTCACTGATAACTTTGTTTTCCTCACAGATAAGTGTTGCTAAAAATCACACTTTTGTATTGCCGCTCTTGACTACCTCTTCTTGACTTTGGTCTAAACTAAGAAAAATAGGTTTGGGATCCTGCTATTGAAATTGTTTGTTTTAAGTCTCTTTGAATGATTGGTTGGAGTATGATGACACAAACGGGGTCAGCAGGTATTTTCAGAGCTGGCAGAATTCTCTGTGGGAAGTGTGCCCTACCTATATGCCTTATTGTGCAATTTAAAGCAGTGCTGTTCAGTGTACTGCTGTGAACTGCTAAACTCTTCACACCTTTTGCCTTAGAGGCTGCTCCATTTCAGGAAGATATGTAATTCTTGTACTAGTTTACAGCTCTTATATGCAAGTTTAAGCAGATGGCAAGATCATCACCAAGATGATGTGCACTTTTAGGACATTTGGCAATCTTTGTTTGTTGCTATGTAAGTAATTCAGAACTGCAGAATGATATCTGTTTCTTCCTTCAACTGTCCTCTGAACCTCCCTTGGAACAACAGAGCATATGACACAGAGCTACTCAGGGGCTGCAGACCTCTTGGTTCAGATGTTTCCTTTACCAGCATTCACCTCTGCACTTCACCAGAATTATCATGTTTCAATTCACCTTACTGTCTAATGATCTGCCTATATTTTCTGGTTTTGACTACTAGCATTCACTAACAGCAGTTACAGAGAGAAATACTAAGTCAGTCTAAAAAAATAATTATGAGGCCATATTCTACTACCATTATTAATCCAATTTGCCCATTGAGGTTTAACAGTTAAACCATTTCTGCCTTATAGCTGAAAGAGATGATGATAGCCTTTGAAAAGCAAATCCAGCATATTCAGTTGAGTGTCATCCTAGTCTATAGACTTTTCTAGTCACAGTCTAGAGGTTTGTGCTGCTGAAAGAAAACAGTTAAACAGACATGCTCTTCAGATATTTTCTTTCAATTATTGACAGTAGAGATTTGTCTCCACCATGATGCTGGCTACAAGCAATTTACTCATTTGAAGCTCATGAATGTAAAACTTCTGTCAAATAAAAAAAGCTAGGCTCAGGTTCAATGGGATTTAGTTTTCAGAGTAAGCATACTAAAGATAGATATATTTTTAGTAAAAGGACTATGATAGGGACCTGGCTGAGCCAAAAAAATGTTTTTGACAAGGTACTCAACCTACCTGTGTCTCAGGTGTTGTTGACAAGGTAGTCAACCTACCTGTGCCTCAGGTTTCTGAGGAAGATGAGGAAAATAATAGCCTTTTTGCCCTTACACTGGATTGTGAAGCTTAACTCATAAAGAGTCTTATCTAAAACCATTAAAGCCAACAGAAATCTCTCATTAACTTTAATGAGCTTTTGCTCAGGTCTTTTATAAGACAGCTGAAGGACTGCCATTGATTGAAGCTCTAATTTTATAAAGCTCATTCATATCCTCAGCTTGGAGGCATTTGGAAACATATAAACATACTAACAAGAGTATTATATTTACCAAAGAAATCTGCATAAGATAAAATTGACCTTTTTTTTTTTTTTTTTTTAAAAATTGCTATTTTTTGAAGTGCTATTCACTGCATGTGTGTACATCCAGGAATATATTTGTTATTGTATGCACTTGTTAATAACTGTTTCTTAGATACCCTCACATGTTGGTTCCATAAACATCTCTCCACTGCTGGATGCCTGCTCTAAACATTAAGTCTAAACAAAGTACAGTTTATAATGACTTTTCCCTTGATTTAGCAAGAATGTCAGCCACAGAATAAAAATTGCCACTTTGCTTTTATGCTGGTATTACCCTGACTGTGCAAGCAAAGACAATAATTGATTTGGCATAAAGTTTAAAATCTTTAAGAAATTTGAAGCAGCAGAATAGTTTAATGCTTCATCAATTCTTTATAATGTCTCCTGCATATCTGATCTAAGAAAGTAGAAGCATTGCCAGGAACATTAATGTGATATTTCCTACTTTGTCAAACAACAACCTCACAGTAAAAAGATTCACCAAAACAGACAATGTACAAGAACATGAAATAATCAGTTTAGTCCAATATTCTGAAAAGGCAATTACTATTAACGCTTTTTGTTGTATAGAGGGTTAATAGCATTTCTAATTCAGCACTAACAATAGATGACCTGTTATTTTTGTAATACTAGCTAAGGTATTAATTTCATCAAAGACACAACTAAATAGAAAGGAAATATTAAACCTTTACAAATCTTAGTTAAAACATTTCCATTTTATTTACACACTTCAGGAAAATGTCTCTCTATTCCTTAAAAATCCAATTTCAGTCATATAAAACCATGCAATAACAAGATAAACCATGATTTATTTTATAATATCTTATATTAACTAAGTAAAGATAATTTAATCTGCCAAGATGTTATAGTTTAGAAATTCATATCTCTCCAAAGGTGCATCTAATTTAGAACTTGATTGGTATCAGGGTTTTTGCTTTATCAACCTAACACATTAGGCCATTGCACATATTGTCATTCTCTGAGACAAAAAATTATTCTAACATCTGTTCCCAATCTGTTTTTCCATAATTTCCTTTTATGCCCCATGGAACTCATTAAGCTCATCTAGAAAACATTACTGAGTCTTACTATCTACACTATATATGTCTTTCCACTGTATGATCGCCGGAAATCGAAATAATGGTAGCCCACAACACTATCCTCTTAAAACACACTATTTTTACAGAATCTTTTGATCAAAGAAAACACACATAGCCCTGAAAGTCAGAATTGTGACACAAAAAATGTTTAACTCTTAAGTGACCTATATACAAAAAGAGTGAGAAAAACATGTCCATGTGTTACCATTGTGCTCTGTTCCTTATGAGTGCTGCAGTCTTAAGAGAGAAATGTTTTTTAAGAACATTCTTTCTGAATGGCTTGAAGAGACTGATTTTAATATTTTTATTCTCTTGTGCAAGTGTACAGCAGACAGGGGGTTAGAATATGTCCCAGTAACCTATAATGTTCTATGTGTAGAATATAAAAGAATCTGGAGTGCAGCATGTCCTTCTAAATACACTTTCCATTTTCTTCTATAGATGAAAATTTTCTGTTTTATTATTCTGAAGATAGTTTCCAGCCCTGTGATCTCTTCTGCCCCTTCTGCCTGCGTTCAATGATTGCCATTCTAATAAAATTTCAGAGGAAAATACCTATTTAGAGCTGATTTTTCCATAATGTATTCATCAAAGCAATACAAAGGTATTACATCCTGAAGAAAGATAAAAAATTCACTGTCTAAAACTCTTCTAGTAGCTCTCAAAAAGTGCCACTGCTGTAAGAAGAGTGACATACTATCCAAGGTTAGCTAACAACTGATGACTAATGTGAGGTCAAAGCCTAGCCAAGGCATTTTACTAATATTTATAAACATCAGTGAATTGAGTAAAAATCTGAGGGTATTTAGATTTACCCCAATATTCTATCTTTCATGAAAGTTGCATGCTGCCTATCTTGTGGATTTTACCTTGCTTGAATTTCTGTGAGCTGCTGTAAATCTGAAACCAATGTCCAACTGCTAAAGTTTCTTTATGCTATGAGTCTACATTGGCAATATATTTGTGAGTGAAAAGAAGATTAGTGTCTTTATGACTAAGATTTATCTTGGGAACAGAGAGTGACAGAGAAAAGCCTACTAAGGGAGGAAAGAGATACCTGCACAGGATAGACTGAATCAGATCCTGCGGGAAAGAACCTCTAAAACTAGATGTTAGAAATCTTAGAAGACAGTAACAGGAGAATAATAATGAGAAACATGAAGAAATACAAGCACAAAACCATTGAGACAAACCAAAAGAGAGGCACTGACATCACATACTCCAAACCAGACAGTAAGCTTATTTTGGTTTTTTTTCCTGAGAACAAATTATTTAAAGCTAATAATTGCACTAAACTTCCAGAAGTCACACAAACTCACAAGGTTCACCTTGGCATTAATTCAGTTAGCATCAGTGGGGTGACTTCTGTATGAAATAGATGTGAAAAAGTGGGAAAATCTAGCCTTGACAACTTCCCTGTGACAGAGTTTTAAAAAAATAATGTTAGAAGAATATCCTCTCCTAAAGACATGTCAAAACCTGCAAGTGGAATAGGGCTAAAAGGATTTGTATTTCCACAGCAGGACACATAGCTTATGCAACTATTTCCTGCATGCTAGATTAAGTTAAAACAAGAACAAGAATCTATACAAAGTGTAACAAAAACCAGACAAAACTAAAACTAAAGTGCAGAGAAAGCATTTACTGTCTATCTGATGAACAGACACAGACTATTAGCAGTCAAGAAACAGATTTTGCAGGTTGCATTTTCATGTCGTTCAATATTAAAATGATGCTAAGCAAAGAAAATTTCAATACTTATTTTTGGGAAAGTTTTGAAAGATCTCTACCATTGTCCACAGACCAATTTAACAGTTAACACTTGCTAAGCACAGTTACAGTTTCCTATGTCTTTATCCCAGCACTGGCACTAAAGCAAAACCAAGGCCCCAGGAGGGAACCATCCTAAATTACATCAACTGGCAACATGTCCTCAGGGAGCATCTGTCAGCTACAGAGAGCTGGCTCGTCCTCTGCTTACTATTCCAGTACATCCCTCCAGATTTAAAATCTCTACCACTTCTACCATGGAGAGAATCAAAAGCAATCTTTATACTGTCCATAATAGATTGGAGCAAACTCAATCTCCACTGACCAAGGTATTTTAGAAAGTCTGACAATACTCACAAAAATAATCAAACAACAATCACAATCAGTTCATACTTGCTGTGTTCCACAAATGATCCAGGAAACATGCAAAGATTTTCAGTTGCAAAGTGTAAGTGACATTGAGGAATTGACTTACAGGGCCAAAAGCATTGCTGTCAAAGCTGTGTCCATGGTGATCCCCTTCCACCCAAATATGACCATTTGGAACTTTCACGTACTTCTTTTTGTAGCCAATGGTTCTAAAGAGAATTGAAAAAAGGTACTTAGCTAAAAAGAAAAAAAATACTGTGTTTTATTAGGAAAATCCACATAACAACCAACAGCTGCTTAAAACAACTCGCACTGAAGCTCTTTAGATTTTGAGTAATAATTAAGGCAAAATACATAGCAATTTTGTATGAGCTAGTTGCAGTATCAGGGGCTGTTTACTATGCTGTTTTATCAAAAATATCATCGCAACAAAGAAGAGGCTTTTCAGTTAAATATAATTAAGGGATTATTATTTCCATCTCTGTAGTAACAAAATTTTGAATCTTCAGATTTAACTCTAGTAAATACAAGTGAACATGTGTAGCAGTCACATAAAGATACACTGAGAATGCCTTTCTTCTGTGGCAATGTTAGGTACTCATCAAAAATAGTCGGATGTATCTGAACTGGCCTCAGATTTGGAGCTTAGATTTCTGCAATGATTATGTTCTTGGGTCAGGATTTCTTCAGCTGCAACAAGATAACTAGTATAAACTTAAATGAAACCTTTAAGAGAAGGCCAAGTGAGGAAAAAAATCACATTGATGATTCAAGCCATTCTTCACAGAAATTCATAGTGAAGCAGTATCTCAGCATGTCCTGATATTACAAAAATCAGAAACTACAGATGAGTCCTAAATCTGAGGTGCAGAGTATACAAAATTCCTGTATTTAGTTCCCCAAGTAGCTGTCATCTTCATAATGCCAGTCTGCCTTCTACCACACACTTTTGCTTTCTTTCAGATGGGACCTGTTATTCTGCAATCATTCATGCAGAGAAGTTGTCATGGTTTAACCCCAGCCAGCAATTGTCATGCACACTGAATTATTACCATGATGAAGCATTTACAGATGGGACTACAAACAATGTAACCTCTTATTTTGTCTTGAATAACAAGTCTGTTCATATACAGAAACAGACTTTTGATCTAGCTTGTTGCCTCCAGCTGCTCATCACTTTTCACTGTCTGGAAGATATGCCCCCAGAGCAGGAGGCAGAAGGAGCACATTTTAAAACTAAAGAAAATCAACTGGAAAGAGAAAATCACCTTCACCAGGAGATTCAGCTGAACTGTGAAACAGCACAGATTAGGGAAGTTCACAAGTGAAAATGAAAAAAATGGGTTTTGTGAGGTTTGTTTTGCTTGGGCACTAGGGTGTATATGTTATAAGGGCAAGCTAATTAATAACCAGGAGGCCAGGAAATATTAGATGAATAAGGAATCCTCAAATGTGCATTTTATTAACTTTATTTGACTGTACTAGTCAAAGAAAAATAATAATTATTTACTTTGCAAGTCACAGAATCTGATCAGTGCTTTTTCAAACAGCTTTTTTTTTTTCTGGCAGCTAAAAGGACCAGCATGACAGTACTATATTCTAATGGAATTTCTACCAGGACTTTCATTGGAATCTGAAAAAATTATAGCCTGTTTGCAGAAAAGAAAGACTCTGCTCTTTATTTTTCTCTAGAACAGTTTCATATTACACATTATTCAATACTAATTTCCTAAACCATTCAAAACTAAAACGTACAACAATCTAAGCTGGCAAATAAATGATTTCTTAAACACAAAGAGTAGTGTTGTAATAATTTAATTATGCTAAAAAGGCAAATCCTTCCTCTTTTATTTTTCAATTTGAAGAAATATAACATCCAGTTTGTACAATAAAATTATTTGCTTTGAGATTTCATAATGCTGACTCACTGATAATTTATTTTATTAGTACTACATAGTTTACTAGAAAAATGTTTTAAGATATAGGTGGAGATTTGTCCATTAATTCTGTTCTGTCTGATTAGACATTTCTGAAAATTATTAAACTAATATCTTTCATGAGTGATAAACAGCCAAACAACAATAGCCAAAAAAAATATTTAATTTTCTCTTCCATTCATCCTCCTGAATACAGAAGAGTACATTGTGATAAAGCTTTATACCTTTACAGACTTCATGCAGAAAACTAAATTTCACTCAGAAAGGTGGAAAGATTTGAAAGCTAATTCTGCTGACATGTTTACCTCATAAATGTCAGGAAAATTATACTGCAAATGCCAGTCAGTGACTCCATCCCAGACCAGACACAATCTCCTACCCCCAAATAATCTCCTCCTTTTTTATGATTAGGAAATTGCTAACAGGAAGGAGGGAAAAAAAACCCCAGCAACTCAAGAATTGTACTTAGCAACAAAACTGAAAAAAGTCTTTTCAGTGGTTTTCAGAGACCCTGTGAAAATAAAAAGGCTTAACACAGGTGTGCTGTGTGTTCTTTAAGGCCTAAGGCAAAAAGAAATAGATTAGGGTGCAGTAACTATCATTGTTTCTTTTTATCATTTCCACAACATAGTAAATACATGTTTCTTCTCTACTTGAAATAACCAGCATAGACCAGAAAAATTTGCTACAATTATACAAAACACAGTCTCTTATAGTGAATAAAGAGGAATTATGTACAAACTCTCATATTGAGAAAAGCAGATGATTGTACACAAGAAGTTTTGACCTAGAGGAAATAGAATTAAAAATGACAATGTTAATACATATATTAAGGGAATAGGGAAGAAAAAAAAGAAAAGGAAAAGAAACAGAAGCAGCAGTTCTAAATATCTACATTAGTAGATACGAGTGATAAATCATGGATAAATCCCTCTGTAAACTCAGTAGTTAAATGTAAAACCTGCCATTTCCTGTATGAGGTATATAAATCATAAGATTTTTTTCTGCATATAAGTTCAATAGGAAAAAAAAAATCAAGATATATCATTATAAAAAAATACCTGAATACCTGTGAACAAAAGAGAGGCAAGAAAATCTATTTTCCTAAAACAATACATTCAAAATGTTACTGTAGTATTTGCATAGAGTGGTTATTTATAACAATCCCATGCAGGGGGGTCATAATGGCTGCAGAGCAGCCAGGCAGAAAGGGACCTGGGAGTTTGGATAGATAGAAAGCTGAACATGAGTCAGCAGTGTGCTCAGGTGGCCAAGAAGGCCAATGGCATCCTGGGCTGGATCAGGGACAGTGTGGTCAGCAGGACCAGGGAGGTGATTCTGCCCCTGTACTTGGTGCTGGTGAGGCCACAAGTGCCATGAGGAGAGGCTGAGGGAGCTGGGGTTGTTTAGCCTGGAGAAGAGGAGGCTCAGGGGAGACCTTCTCACCCTCTACACCTACCTGAAAGGAGTTTGTAGTCAGGTGGGGGTTGGTCTCTTCTCCCAGGCAACTAGCAGTAGGACAAAAGGGCACAGACTCAAGCTCTGCCCAGGGAGGTGGGGGATTTACTGTCTCTGCAGGTTTTTAAGATGAGACCAGATGTGGCACTTAGTGCCATGATCTAGTAACCATGATAAGGTTGAACTTTATGATCTTTTCCAGGTCTTTTCCAACCCAGTTGATTCTATGATTCTGTGATTCTATATTTAGGGACTTTTTATCCTCTTTAGCAATATTCATTCAAACACTGTCCTGTGGAACACTAGCAAAATTAGAAAACAAAGTTTTTCTTGAGATTTTCACTGTATGAATTAATAATGAACTGCAGCAATAAGCTCATGTTATAGTAAATTGGATCATCTGTTAGTTGATATTGGTTTTAATTTTCAAGATAATTTCATTGTTGAATTACTCCACAACAGATCAATAAACTCTTCATGCAAGCAAACTAGGCTACACACTTTAGAAAGCCATATTAGGTTCATGACAGTAGGTTATTTTTAATTACTGTTGCAAAGACTACATTGACTTTTTTTAA